AAGTAAAGGAACAAAGAATTGAATCTACTTCATCTGCTTCTCTTTAAATTAAAACCCTTCATTAAAGGATTCTAAAATAGTTTTTTTCTTTAACATTGGGCATTTTAGGGAGGTTTGACAGTCAATACAACATATTAATGTCTTCTACTTTTGGTAAATCAAGGTTGAACAACTTAATGAATACAACATATGTGGAGGTGTCCACAATCACCTCACCACCCCACCACACACACCCAGCTGTTAATATCTTCCCTGTGAAATGTTTGTGACTGTAATTGCTACTCTGATTATATATTGTGTGAACTTGAAGTACGTTATTATGTTGGGTGACTAATGGAATTTGGTGACAATGCACAGGAATTGGTATTCTGGAAAAGAGTTGGTTTTTGAATTTTATTCTTTCCTGAGTTTGCAGTGCATTTCATGGCTCATCTACCTCACAGTGGGTTTGTGGCTGATGGATTGAAATCTTTCTGCTGAATAGTAAACATCAGAGATAATTTGGTCTTCCCTTAGCTTTTCTCATCACTCATTCAAAATATCAAAAATAAATCCTTGATTACTGTTAATTCACTTTCATCCATACTGACAAAGGGAGAAGGCACATCTGTCAAAACTTAAGTGGATAAATGGGGAAGGGTTCCTCTGAGTGTGGTCTCCAAGCTTTGTAGGGGGGCATTGTGTGCCTTGGAAATAAAGGGGGTCTATTAGTTCATTCTTGTTTTACTGGTCAAGGTAGCCCACAGGCCTTTGGACACTCCAACCCTCTTTCCATTGTTGGATGGGTTTAGAGGTGAGAGAGAACCAGTTTCCTTCTTTCACTTTTCTAAGGATGTCTCTAATGTTATTAAATATAAAATAAAGGTTATCTAGTATAACATTTTCAGCAAACAAACTAATGTCAGTCATTGCTTCAATTTGTGAACAGAGACATTTGCTTGTATAGGGTGAAATTTAATGCTAAGAACACTTATTAGAATTGGTCTTGATGCCATCTGTCATTCAGTGGTTTTTCTTCAATTAAACTGAACTGAAGCCTAGATTATTCACCACTAAGCATGCGTTTGCATTCAGTAGGTAAATATTTTTATTTGACACTTTCCCGTATAAAGAAATGACAGTTGTAGATTCTTCCTAGAACGTACTATAACATATTAAGTAATGTATAATTTTATCAATCATAGTCACCTAAAAAGCCTTATAATAACAACCGCATGAATGAGTGTATATTAGAGCTTGTCAAAGTGTGTTCTATGGACCAGCAGCATCCACAGCACCTGAGAGCTTATGAGAGATGCAGAGTCTCAGGCCTATCCCAGTCCTGCTGAACCAGAAACAGATGGATGGCACCCAGCCAGTCTGTGTTTTAAGCTTTCCAGGTGACTCTAATGCAGGCTAAGGTTTGAGAGCCACTGATATAGAAAGTGTTACCATACTCATTTTATAGATGATACAGTTGATGCTTGGTATGGGACAATGATTGGTTGAATACATAACCAGTTAATTTTAGGGCCCTTCTTCGAACCCATGGGGGGCCCTTCCTACTTAAATGTCATGTGACCTCCCTCTCTTAAAGAAATGAGTAAAGGAATAGTGAATTCCATAAAGCCGGAAATCAGTATCTCTTCAATGAACTGAGAAAGGGACCATTTCACTGCTTTCTAGTAATGAAAGTGAGTTGTTCAAACTATTTACTTGAAAAAATTAACCTAGAAAAAGTTTTAATGACACAAACAATGTTTTTGTGGTCCTGTGCATTGGGTTCCACATTTTCTTTTTATTGGAGGAGACAGAATGGGCTATCGTTAAACCCCAGAGGGGAGGCTATTGCATGTTAATAGAAGTGGGAGATACTATTTTAATCATTGCTTTCTACTCCAGTGAGTCCATGGACAGCTTTTCCACCTGGGTCTTTCCCATGCCACATTACCCACATTAATAGTGCCCTGCGGTGGTTTTTCTGCACACACAATTTTACACGCAAGCGAAAGAAGTTTCTTAGTCGCTGTGGTATCGGAATGAATCCCCAGGGCAGCTGTTGTTAAGTACCTCTCTGTGACTTGGGGAATGAATGTTTCCTCTTGAGTTGAGAGTAGAAAACAGTGTTCATTATCTGTAATGTAAAAGTCTATATAATGACTCCTGCTAAGATCTAGTTCTTTGTGAACTCAATTTGGGTTTTGTGTGTATAAACAAATAAGTGAAATTTAAGTCTATTGTTTCCTCAACTGGGAGGAACTTCTCTGAAAAGAAAATGTGGCTATAAAATTAGGTGCATGTATTATGTGTGTGTGTCTGATTTCTATCCTGCATATATGTAAAACATCATGTAACATATATGGAAAAGTGTACTACACATAAATGTCAGTGTCTTATGGATAAAGAGGACACACATGTAATGCCTACTGTGTCCAGAAGTGTTTGTGATGACTCTCCATGAACCCCTGTTGTGTATCTTGAGTGACTTGCAGTTTCCTGCACACAGTTCCTGCCTCTGTGCATTTGCACCTACTGTTTCCTCTTCCTATAACCCTCCTCCCCCCTCAAAACCACAGAATTGTAAGGCTGGCAAACTGTTTCTCATCCTTGTGTATTAGCTGAAAAGATGTCATAGCCCACATCTGCAGTATACTTTGAAATGTCTCCTTTAGAGTATAATAATTGGCTTTGTGAAGGAGCTGCTCAAAACAGTTGTCTGTTTTCTATTTTGGTGTCATTCCTCCGTACCAAGCGTGTACCTGACATGTTGCAGCATTTGATAAATAATACTCCAGGGAATTGATGACTGGCATTTCCACTTGGATAAACCCCTCAAACCAACATCTCCAAAATGCATCATCATTTTGTCCATACTTCCAAGTCCCAGTTTGGAATATGGAAACCCTTGGGCTATCCATGTCTTCTGTCTTCCCTTTAGGCAATTCTTCCACCATATTATGGTTCTCATCTTTCTTCCAGTTACCTACCTAATGAAGGTAGCTTCATTTGGTCTCCTGTCTCTCAAATGTCCACTTGGTTCTGGTTTTCTGGATGAAGCTTCTTCAAGCCTGGTTCTCTTCTTGTGTCTCTCCTTCCAACACAAGTTTTGATAGTCTTACTGTGGAGATAAGAAACCCAGACCAGATATTCCAACTCCTCAAGTCTGAGGACTTTATTATGCATTTCCCTAAGTGAGGCATTGAGCCCTGCATTGATGCCATTCTTTTCTAGCACTCATGAGGTGACCTTCAGTATTGTGGATGGTATGGCCTTAGGGGAACTTTGGCACCAGTTGTTCTGTCCTGCAAGATCTTTGCTGGGTGGCTCCCTGTTACACCCCAGAGTTTGGGAGGATTTCCAGAGTCACACTTGGCAAGGAATGGGTCGAGGGATTTGCTAAAATGAGGAAAAGCAAACTTAGACAGCTAGGGCGAGCAAAAGAGAAGAAGGCACTGTTTCTTGACCTGCCTTCACAGAGAAGGTATGCGGGAGCCAGGTGTTGTTGGACCTGCTGTGTGGTTGTTGTGCATCCCAGCAGACAGACTCTACCTCCCCCATGACTGTTATACTGTACTCATGAGATCAACCTTAGGTGCAAGAAATGAATCAGACCATTTTGCATAGAACATTTGGAATTGGTGGCAGCTGTTTGAAGGAATTGTCTGAGAACCCCAGCTACGAGAACTTGGGGACATTAAGACCTATGAGAAATTACACCCACTCCTGTCCAGAGAGTCTGAGTAGCTGAATAATGATGTAGTGCCTCCTACAAGGAGAAGGGGATAGGATGGCTGCATCCAACTCTTTTGTTATCAGCATGGGTTGGATGGATGGCTGGAGTCACTTTAAGATGACTGTTCGTTGCAGTACAGTTCCATCTCACTGATGTAGGGTCTACTGTATAACTCGGTGATGTGGGTGTCACAAACCTCATGACTCAGTGTTCTAAGATGGACTCTCAGGGTTTCCATCCTTTTGCCTGTATCCCTTTCCGGTATCATCTCCCATGACTTTTCTTCATATGTTCTGTGCCCCAGGAATGGAACAATGAATGTTGCCCATGAGAATCCCTTCCCACAGTGCCATTACATCTTCCCTGTGCTCTTTCTTCCTCCTGGATGCCCCTCTATCCCTGTCCTCCTCCCTACCTGCAATGTTCTCCATCTCTAAACATCTAAAGGCTGTGAATACCTCAAGGCTCTGCCCAAACCTCTAGTCCTTTCTCATCTGGATTTGCCAATGTTATGCCTTCCAACTCCTCTTCTCCATGCTCAATGACTCTTCCAAGGACTTTTCTCTGGGACCCTGGGGGAACAACTTTCTTTTCTCTTTTGACCCCCATAGCAGTTAACTTTAAAGTTGGCATGAGCACATTCTCCCATGTCTTATGTATATACACTTCTTTACTCCCCTGTTTGATGGCAGGTCCATCCAGAGGCGCTATCATATTGTATGTATCTTGTATCCTAGAGTAACTTGCATTTTATAGGTGTTCAGTAATATATCATGAATAAATGAAAAGATCGGGGCATAAGATAGGTGTGCTAAAGGCTGGGGAGGGGGTAGGTAGGTGAGGCAGATTTATCTCTTTCCCTTGGCCAGGTGAGCTGATGGAAACCTCTTCCACCCCTCTTCCCCAAAACCCCATGCCATTCACATATCCTCACACTAAGACTGACTCTCAGGATTATTTTTTCAACTACAGGACAGGAAGCCCCAGTTCATCATGACTTAGGAATGGCTCATAGTATAGACTGGAGCCCCTAACCATGCCCATTATACTTTCAAAATGTCTTAGAACATACAGTAAACCGAACAGTTAGCAGTTAGCTATCTTGCTGTTTCCATTCCAATTCCGCTGGTAAACGATGTGAGAGAAAAAAAATATCCTAACTGCAGAGAAATCTCCAGGCAGATCCCAAGAGAACATTATTTTTTAAAAAGTGATGTCAATGATATAAAACAAAGAAAAGAGATCTGTGTGGATGCTTAACAATTTCACATTTTTGCCTTCCAGGAGACGGAGCTGTTAGATCTCAGCCTTGTCAAGGATGCCAGATGTGGGAAGCATGCCAAAGCTCCCAAGGTAGGAAGTGGAGCCTTGTGCCCACACCAGATGTTGCTTTGAGTGTTTCGCTGTGTCATGGTATCAATTAATTGCCCCAACTAAAAGTTTCTCTGTTGTCGAGGTTGTAAAACACAATAAAACAGCCAGTCCTTCCAGAAGCCTCTATGCCTTAAACATTCCCACTTTTGTTAAAAGAAGGTAACAGGGAGTAAATATATAGGCAGTTGGACATGGGGGTTTGCTGTCTGTGCTCTAATTTTAGTTTTGTTTGAAAAATATATCACAATGCTAGAGATGCTGGGTAATTCTCAATAGTTAAGATGTGCTTGAAATTACTTGAAACCTTCCTTGAACCTCCTATTCATACATGAACTAACCTTTAGACATGATGAATAATTATGGTATAATTAGAATAATTAGAATTGTAGTTCTAATACTTTGCAACTGCCATCATTCCATCCATGAAGCCAAAGGCTCTGAAGTTCTTCTATAAATGTCACTAGTGAAGATCTGCAGAACTTTGGGATTGGATCGGTTGTGTGGCCCATCAATTCATTTTCGCTTGAAAAACTTACTGCAGACATATTCAAAGCAGTGTTTGCAGTTTATTTATTTTTTGAAGATTGTTTAAAAATGTTGAATAAAGAACATACATACATTTTTTTTTAACTTAGATTCTCTGGTGGAGTCTAGTAACAGAGTGTGTTGACTTGTCATGAAAGTGGGAAACTACTCCTTATTGTATTTAAATCTTAGTATTCTAAATACTTCCTTTCTAGCAAAGATAATATTGTCAAATAGGGAAGTACAGGTGCCATTCAGGAACTCCTGCCTCTTACCATAATTGATATAAAACTAGCGATTTTCTATTTGAGTATCTGCCTGCAACTTTTGTTTTATTCTTTAAAAGTCAAAATACTTTCCTTGACATTAAAAATGATCTGTTGCTGTGGAGAGGCAGAAAGAGAAAAAAAAATCACCTAGAATGATTATTCTTCAGATATGTAACAGTGCAATAGTTGTTGGCAAATTCTGCCATGGAAAAACACCCAAATACTGCCTTTACTGCTGTAGGAGTTAAGCCCATCGATAGGAAAATGTGAAAAATGAAAAGACAGAAAAATCCGAATTACTTCGCAAAGGTTTCTCTAAGTGTTTTCATGGGCAAAGTCTTTTATTTGCCTTCACCTCTTTGTAATATAATAGAATTGCAGTTGTTTGGTCTTTTAATTTTGCAGCAAGCTTGTCATTATTAATGCTTCACTGGTGATTCAGAATTGTTCAGTTTTTAGTGTGGGAAAGAAATTTTCTTCTTCTTTCCCCCAAAGCATTCCAGCCAAGTTTCACGGGAGCCTGTTAGTTCCAAGAACTTTATTGATAACATAGTCATAAAGTTTGCCTTTTTTTTTTTAATTTTATTTATTTGTATGAGAGAGAGCATGAGGTGGGGAGGGTCAGAGGGAGAAGCAGACTCCCCGCCGAGCAGGGAGCCTGATGTGGGACTCGATCTCGGGACTCCAGGACCATGACCTGAGCCGAAGGCAGTCGCTTAACCAACTGAGCCACCCAGGCGCCCTAAAGTTTGCCTTTTAATGCAAGTGTATTGACCTAACTTGAAATTTCATGATCAATATTGGTTAAAACTGCTGCCTACACGCTGTCAGACCCCCTTTGTCTGCAAGTATCAGAGGCCAAGTCAGCTCTGGGGCTTCTGTCTCTCTCCTTCATTGCAGGACCCAGCCTGCTTATCAGTTCAGTGTTTCATTTATGGATGCCATGGGATACATGTCTATTGAATGATGATAAAGGAACAGAACCAGGGTCTGTTCTGTGCTCAGCTGATAAACCACTATTAGATCCTAAAATACTTTTCTTAAGGACAGACGTGTGCACTCAGAATACTCTGGCTTTTACCGTTTTTGTTTTTGTTTTTTTCCACCAAAGATTGCTTTCTCTGTGGATTATCAATGTTCTTGGCTTTTTTCCTTTCCGTTCCTTGCTGGTGTTCAAGAACTTCAGTTGACTTTAGTATTTTAAAAAACCAGGTTCTGTTGCATCAGGCGTCCTCATGGGCAACACGGTGATCATAATAATGACAACAATAACAGTAATTATAATAATAATAATAAGAAGAAGAAGAATGAATGGGCACTTCATATCATTGCCATAAGGACTGAATGAAAATTCATTAGCAAATCTTTAGCAGAGGAGTTCTCAAATTTGACTGCTGTGGAATCACCTGGAGAGCTTTAAAAACCGATGATGCCTGTTTCCTACCCCCAAAGATTCTGGTGTTCCAAGTGTAGTGTAGATTTTTGAAAAGGGCTTTTGAAAAGAAGATTTGCAGCAAAATCTGAGCACCGCTGCCTTAACTTATCACTGCTATTTAATAAGCACTTGCTAAATATTAGCCACTGTTATTGGTGTTATTGTTATTTTTGTATTTATTATTATTAAAAATTTCCATCAGATTCACAGGAAGTCAGTTTTTAGTTCTCTTAATGTGGAAAAGTTTATGTTGTAAAGAGAGATTGGGGGACGGGCTTGGCCAAAAGGGGCTTTGTGGTTTGGCACGCACGAAAGAAGGTGATATTACTATCAGTTTAAAAGTCTTTCAGTTGCAAAAGAAAATCCCAGCTCAAACTGGATAAATAAAAAAAAGTTATTAGAAATGATTGGAATGCATTGAAAATGCCAATGGAAGTGTAGCGTCCAGGTGAAGGCTCACACACCTCCTCAAAAACTGTCACCAGGGAATATGTATTTCTTTCTCTTGCCAGTCTGGCTTCCAAGGTTCTGGAAGCGGTTTTTCTTCCATCCTCAGGATCCCATTTGTGGCCATCCTCTGCTTGCAGCTCCAGGCTTCCCCAAGTAGCAGCAGTTGGATAGGGGAATCAAAAGAGAGACCAGCTTCCTGAATATAACCACCTTGTAGAAGGAGGCGAATGGCCCCGGGGGCGGGGATGGGGTGGGGGTGGGGATAAGTAAGAGGAGACCATTGTGTTGGCTTGAATAAAAGCAGCAGGACCCAGAGCATAAGATTAAAAAGTGTCAAGATAATCACTATGGAGTGAGAGAAGCATGGAAACTCCGGATGGGTGGGCAATGTAACATGAAGACAGATTGAGTGGAAGACATTCTGGGGGCTTTATAGACCGTAAAGGAAGGAAGAACATGTGTGGAGCAGATATTATTTATCAAAATACTCAGGCACCCCCTGCAAATATTTATGTGTGTATTGGTATTATTTTTGTTTTTCACAGCATCTCATTACATAAAAATTCACGATCTAGCTGAAGATGAACTGTTTCCTATGCCTGCTGTGATTGGAAATAACATTTATAAGAAATGGAAAATCTTCTATGTGTTGCCCATTAACGAATTTTAAATGTCGACTCCCAACACAGTATATGAAATTCCAGATTGGCTTTTCTGTATGCAGCCTTTGTTCTAGTTATCAGTTTCAAAATTTCTCACTGGAGAGAAATTGGAAGATTTTTATCCACATGTAAAAAAGTAAAAGAGAAAAAAAATCTTATCCTTTGAAATCTAAAAGGTGTTTATGTTTCCTTCTTCACTCTCTCTCTGCCTCCCTCCCAGGCTTATAAAGGGCACATAGGGGCAAAGTGCTATGGGATATGCATCTTGCATGTGCTAAGTACACATGTTCTCTTGGTCTTCATTTCAAAATGAGCTTTACTTTTGGGCACCTGGGTGGCTCAGTTGGTTAAGCGACTGCCTTCGGCTCAGGTCATGATCCTGGAGTCCCGGGATCGAGTCCCGCATCGGGCTCCCTGCTTGGCAGGGAGTCTGCTTCTCCCTCTGACCCTCCCCCCTCTCATGCTCACTCTCTCTCTCATTCTCTCTCTCTCAAATAGGTAAATAGAATCTTTAAGAAAAAAATTTTAAAAAAAATGAGCTTTACTTTTAAAAAGAGGGTTTATCACTGTGGTTTCTGATCTATTAGTGGTGGTTCCTCACCCAAGCAGATCAATTTCGTGGCTCATGTACAGCATTAATAAAATGAAATAGATCTGACTAGAATGAAAAATATCAGCATCTTATGCAGAGCAAGTTGTTTTGTGAAACTTCTTTTGTGCATGTGAATGTATGTTCTGGATTGCAACATGAAGTGTATTTTTTTTACTATGGGCCACATCAGAAAGTTTTCAAAAAATGCTACTGAAAAGATAGTTTCTCAAATAATACATTATATGTTTAAAAAAAAAAAAGAAGAAGAAGATAGTAGGAAGGGAAAAATGAAGGTGGGGAAATCGGAGGGGGAGACGAACTATGAGAGACTATGGACTCTGAGAAACAAACGGAGGGTTCTAGAGGGGAGGGGGGTGGGGGGATGGGTTAGCCTGGCGATGGGTATTAAAGAGGGCACGTATTGAATGGAGCACTGGGTGTTATACGCAAACAATGAATCATGGAACACTACATCAAAAACTAATGATGTAATGTATGGTGATTAACATAATAAAATAAGAAAAAGAATAAACACACACACAAAAGACAGTTTCTTTATCCTCAGGATTCTTAGGGCGTATTCCATCTGTAGGTGTACTGAAAAGTAGACGAAGATGTGGGTTTGGATGCCAGTTCTGCCAGTAACACGTTTTTGTCTGTCCCTCTACTTTCTCATCTATGAAATGGGGCCGGGGGGGGGCACAGGATTTTAGGTGTGTAAGTTGGGTTAACCCTTGATTCCAATTTTTAAAATGAGAAGTTGTGGCACCTGGGTGGCTCAGTCGGTTAAGCATCCGACTCTTGGTTTCAGCTCAGGTCACTATCTCAGGGTCCTGGGATCCTGCCCCATGTTGGGCTCTGTTCTCAGTGGGGAGTCTGCTGGAGATTCTCTCCCTCTGCCCCTTGCTGACTTGTGCTCTCTATCTCTCTCAAATAAATAAATAAATAAATAAATAAATAAATAACTGTTAAAAAAAAATGGGAAGTTAATCAAGCCAAGGCACACCATCTTACAGATTATAAACCTAATGTTGAGAAGTTTGCAT